TATACTACATCTACTACCAGGTACTGCATCAAATACAATGTGTATCACATCTGGTACATCAAATACAACCTGTACTACATCTACTACCAGGTACTGCATCAAATACAATGTGTACTACATCTACTACCAGGTACTGCATCAAATACAATGTGTACTACATCTGGTACATCAAATACAACATATACTACATCTACTGCCAGGTATTACTTCAAATACAACATATACTACATCTACTACCAGGTATTACTTCAAATACAACATATACTATGTGTACTACCAGATACTATTCAAATACAACATGTATTACAGTGTCCTAAATGTATTTCAACATTGTACTGTGAGGTACTACATGTCTGTTGGGGGAACTAGTACTAGGTAGTACATGTACTATAGGTCACACTAATGCTAACATTCACACATGAACTTGATAAAACCAATAAAGGGATTTTCTGATGTGTATTTTTGTGTACTTGCACTCTGTACTTGTACTTGTACTCATTAAACTTATTCTTATTTCTCTGTATGAATCACCTGTGCACCTTCACCTGTGGGTGATGCCAGTTGCTGGGCGGAGCCAGTGCAGAGCAGAGGGAGAACCTTGGCGTCACCACACCTGACTACTACCTATACCTGAACCAATCAGGAACTTACACTGTGGAGGATGTCAATGACAAAAAGGAGTTTTCAGATACGATGGTGCTTACCTGTCCTCACCTGTCCTCACTTGTCCTCACCTGTCTGTATCCATTCATGTCTAACAGCCTGGGTGTCTCTTAGGGGGCGATGTCGGTTGTGGGTCTGTCTTTGGACGATCAGGACTCGGTTCTTCAGCTTGTCGCAGGAATTCTTCATCTTGGAAACATCAGCTTCAGAGAAGAGAACAACTACGCTGTGGTGGAGAGTCAGGACTGTAAGACTGTCAGCATGCTCCAGGTCCAGGTCCAGGTCCAGGATCAGGTCCAGGATCAGGATCAGGACTACAGGAGCTGCTGACAGACAGCAGTCAATGTGTTTTTAAAGATGTCTGATGGTTGTGAAGCTGTCTTTTGAACCACTAAAGCTGTGTGTCTCCATCAGTCCTTGCCTTCCCATCCTACCTGCTGGGGATCTCTCCGGACGGTCTCTGCAGTAAACTCACCAGCAGGATCATGGACAGTAAGTGGGGTGGGAAGACCGAGTCCATCTCTGTCACCCTGAACACGGAACAAGCCACCTTCTCCAGAGACGCCCTGTCCAAAGCTCTGTACGCCCGTCTCTTTGACTTCTTGGTCGATGTCAGTCCCAGCAGCCGTCTTCATTCTGTGCTCTCTGTCCGTCTCGGGTCTTCATGCTCACTCAGTGTTTCCTGTGTTTCTGTGTCAGAGTATTAATAAAGCCATGCAGAAGAAGCAGGAGGAGCTCAACATTGGAGTCCTGGACATCTATGGCTTTGAGATCTTCCAGGTAAAAACTTTCTGAACATCCAAGAACTTGGGACTTCCTGTAGAAAAATCTGAGCTGTGAAAGAAACAGACTCTTATTTTTAAAAGTTTTATTGGATTTTCATGATGTGGGGTTGTGTTGGACGAGACTTTACAACATTGCGTGGACATCGGGGGCAGTTCCTCTGGATTGGCAGATCGTGGTGGGGGGTTCCCCTTATTCAAGAAGGGGACCACAGAGTGTGTTCCAACTATGGGGGATCAGACTTCTGAGCCTCCCTGGTAAGGTCTGCTCAAGGGTCCTGGAGAGGAGGGTCCGTTGGATAGTCGAATCTCAGATTCAGGAAGAGCAGTGTGGTTCTGGTCCTGGTTGTGGAACAACGGACCAGCTCTACACCCTCAGCAGGGTCCTGGAGGGTTCATGGGAGTCCAACTACATGTGTTTTGTGGAGTTGGAGAAGGTGTTCAATCATGTCCCTCAGGCAGTCCTGTGGGGGTTACTTTGGGAGTATGGGGTACCAGTCCCGTTGATACGGGCTGTTAGGTCCCTGTAGGACCGGTGCCACAGCTTGGTCCACATTGCCAGTAGTAAGTCAGACTCGTTGCTGGTGAGAGTTGGACTCCACCAAGGTTGTCCTTTGTCATTGATTCTGTTCATAACTTTTCTGGACAGAATTTCTAGGAGCAGCCAAGGTGTTGAGGGGATCCTTTTTGGTGACCTTAGGATCACATCTCTGCTTTTTGTGGATGATGTGGTCCTGTTGGCTTCATCAGATCCTGATCTCCAGCTCTCACTGGAGTCATTCACAGCTGAGTGTGAAGCAGCCGGGATGAGGATCAGTGCCTCCAAATCCCAGACCATGGTCTGGAGCTGGAAACTGGTAGTTTGCCGCCTCTGGGTCAGGGAGGAGGTTCTGCCCCAAGTGGAGGAGTTTAAGTATCTCAGGGTCTTGTTCATGAATGAGGGAAGAATGGAGCAGGAGATCAACAGGTGGATTGGTGCTGTGTCTGCAGTGATGTGGGCGTTGTACCGGTCTGTCATGGTGAAGAGAGAGCTGAGCCAGAAGGTGAAGCTCTCAGTTTACCAGTGGGTCTACGTTCCTACCCTCATCTATGGTCAGGAGCTTTGGGTAGTGACTGAAAGAAGGAGATCACAGATCCAAGCAGCTGAAATGAGTTTCCTCTGCAGGGTGTCTGGGCTCTCCCTTAGAGATAGGCTGAGAAGCTCAGTCATCCAGGAGGGACTCAGAGTAGAGCTGCTGCTCCTCCACGTCCAGAGGAGCCAGTTGAGGTGGTTCATCTGGTTAGGATGCCTCCTGGACTCCTCCCTGGTGAGGTGTTCTGGACACGTCCCACTGGGAGGAGACCCAGAGGAAGACCCAGGACACACTGGAGGGACTATGTTTCTCAGCTGGTCTGGGAACACCTTGGGATTCCCCCAGAGGAGCTGGTCCAAGTGTCTGGAGAGAGGAGAGTCTGGGTCTCTGCTGAGGCTGCTGCCCCCGAGACCTGACCCTGGATAAGAGGAAGAAAACTGATGGATGAATTTTCAACCTTTTACATAAACAACAAACACCCTCCCCGTGACCAAATAATAAACAACAAACGAGATAAAGGTTTAGAAGAAATGGACACAGGTGCTGCAGGTTTCTAGACTTTAATGGATATTTTACATTTTAATTTTTCTTCTTTGTTTTTTAGCAAAACGGCTTTGAGCAGTTCTGCATCAACTTTGTGAACGAGAAGCTGCAGCAGATTTTTATTGAACTCACTCTGAAGGCTGAACAGGTTTGAATAAACTTTATTCAGAACAAAGTCACCTGGAGGACTGGGTCAGACCTGGATCTGGTCTCAGGTCCAGCTCAGACCCTGCTTGATGACACTTTGTTGGGTTTTTAGAATTTAAGGTGTTTTAAGGAGTTCTCCTGCAGATGTTGTCGTCAACACAGATGTTTATTAAGGACAGTATTCATTTTTCTTTCTTTCTGCTGATGTATGTTTGTTTGTTTGTATGGTGGTGTTGTGCTCCTGCAGGAAGAATATGTTCAGGAAGGAATCAAATGGACTCCGATTGAGTATTTTAACAACAAGGTGGTCTGTGACCTCATTGAGTCCAAACTGGTGAGTCAACCAATCACAGAGCAGGACACCCGGTCCAATCACTCTGATAGGCCTATCTGAGACAGGTGAGTGTAGGGGTCACCTGGAGTCAAATTATCAAGGAACTATCTTGGACTCTTAGTCCTCTGATGGGCCTTCGAATGGACAGAAACTCTGTTCCACTTAGAACTGCATTTAGGCCACCCAAGGCCACTTTCCTTCTAAATCAGATAATAAACAGAAGAATCTTCTCTTATTTGATTTATTGTTCTCTTAACTGAAAGTATTACACATTTTGATAATCAGAGAATGTTTATCAAAGTTACAGGAGAAGAGAGGACAGATCTCTTTTCTCCCTCAGTATGATTTCAGCTATGTATTGTGAGGATTTGGCATGAACAGACCCAGGGCGCAGGCAGGCTCCAAAAGTAGAACAAAAATTTATTTTAAATAGCAAAAACGCTGTTGAAAAGACAGCTCAACTTACAGATGCAGATCACAGAGACGGGGGGAACAGAAGACAGCAAACACATCAAACAATGATCCGACACAAGACTGAGACAGGACAGGGTTTAAATACACAGAAGACTAATGACTGAAACACAAAACACCTGGGGAGAAACACGARGGTGACTAATCAAACAAATAAGGGGCAGCTGGACTGAGACACACTGGGGAACATAGAAACACAAGGAAAACCAAGGTGAAAACTGACAAATCATGACATTTTGTTTATAACTTGAGTTTCATTTTCTGTTTCAGATGGCACAAAAATTACTTTAAAACATTAAAAGCATAAAGCATAGTAGTTTCTTCATCATCAGTAAAAAGGCTTGTTTGTTATTTTTCCACTATCTATTCCCCAACAAGAAGGGGCACTTGCATGGCAGCTCTGCATAATGAAACACAAATTTCTGTGAATAAAAGGTTGAAACACAGAGGTGTGTGTCCATAAATGACTTGAATGATGACTGTTTTCTGT